TTTGTATAACTCGGTCTACAGGATGGCACATCAAAATTCAATTTAATGCAATGCTATATAAACATAAATAGTTTATTCCATAAGCTAGCTATTTGGAACTTGAATAATCAACGAATTGAAACAAACAACAGTCAATATGAAAGAAATAATGTATATTACTTCACTAGCTCAATAGTTTTTTAAAAATAAAAATAAATAAAGCATATGGATTTTTATATCACAATATTCTATGTCTATTAATATGGCATTACTATATATTGGCAATTTAAAAATATTAAATAATATTTATTTTTTGCTTTCTAGGCAACCAGTTCAAAGATATTTATTAAATATCCTGTGATCTGAAAAATATTTTATCCATGCATATGCTACATAATAATTTATATTTATTCCAAAAACTGCCCTATTATTTTTAAGCACTTTAGACTAACGTTGTTCCTGAGTCACTTCACAGAACGAGCGAGTATCGAATTTGCTCAGCAAATGCTCTCGGCCAGATGAATATTTTGGTTTGTTATTCCCACAAAAGCTGGAAGAAGCTTGGCTATACGCTGGAAAAAGTTCCAGCTCTGTTGCTGACTCGAAATGGCGTAGTTGTTCCACCCTTCTGGACCGAAGAGCTGCCATGATTTGTTCTGATTCCTTTGTTCTGATGCCTTAATAGAAAAATCATGTTTTTTTAATCTGAATAAGCCATAGCATAAAATTAAAATATGATCACCAGGTGTTTAATAATTGATGGATCAAACAAATTTTTGAGTGATTTACAAACAAGTGGAGATAAGATACATAAAATGTAACTACCAGTACTCTTATCACCTTAAACGAAATAGGGTGAATAAATCTTATATATTTTTTTTAAACCCATAAATATCCTGGACACCTGCTCTATTTGATTCTTGCCTCCAGAATAGGAGAAAGATTTCATATCGCGCTTTTGGTCTGCGCGATGATAGCTCCATGCAAATTGGCAGATTGGGCTTTAATAAGCAAGAATAGGCAAATGATCTTTGATTAATAGCATTAAATTTGACCTATTTTCTGCTTATGCTAAAATAATTTTAAAGCCTATATTTTCCCTAGATTGCTATTTAAAAGGTAATGTTATGGAACAATAACTTGTCAACAAGATTGATTTAATAATTCCCTTCAGGTGATTTTGAATATTTGTCAATTTTACTTGAATAAATCGTGGTACATGATGGCCCGCATTGCTGCTATCTTTCGCTAAACATGAGAGTGAGCATAACTCTTAATTTATCTTTATGACCTTTCGGTTGATAATTTATTCACACCAAGACTCTTTGCTTCAAACATTATCGTTATTTTTATGCCCCACTACTAACAACCTGATGACCTTTCTTGTTCTGAGATAATTATAATGTTTATGATGCTTATGTGTGATTTCCCCTGGGCTTTTACATCATCTCAGGTATCCTTTCATCCTCCATCCAAATGGCATACTATAGGCATGCTATCAAATAAAAGTTATATTAAGGCTACTAGATTATTTGCTACATTAAGGTTAAAATGTTTCGTGAAATAGATTCTTATATTTTGCTTGCACCATAAACAAGTAGCGGAGGCATTTACAGTCCATTACGAAATAAGGTCATTTTGGATCAAGAACTTATAAAGAAGGATGAAGATAAATACAAATTTTGGTTTGATTTCTTTTTAAATACCGAAAGCGAGCTCTATTTATGCAAAGATCATATAAATCTCAAATCTATCTGAGCTCACCTTTAAATGCAAAGTCAGTTTCAGCCACATTTTTTCCAGATTGCTTGTCAGCAGGCTTTCCACAGACATCTCTACCAAGTCCCGATTTCACTTCCTCATCGTTAAGGCCTTCGTGAGACGGTACCTCTGTCCAACTGGATTTTTTATCCATCGAGGTAGAAAGGAATGTTTTGGGCCCACAAGCTTCATCTTCCCGACCTACGAAGTCCTCTTGTCGTGAAGTAGCATTATCAGTAGGCCCTAAACCTTCAATTATATCTATAGCTAAAATGAATATTAAGGTAAAAGGTATCTTTAAAGTTGAACTTTTGAAATCAGTAAGGCTAATGTTTAGCGTTATATTATCATAAAACTACTAATTATATTCTTTATTCTGTCACCCAGAAAAGGGATACAAGTAGGCTGTATTTAATTTGCTAAAATATATTTAAATAGCATATGCTTTCGTAGAAGCGAGTCATAAGTTGCTTTCATTGGTGCAATCTTAAAATATCATTTTCCAACATTTCCTCCTTTTATATGGTATG